CCTTCAATACCATAGCTTGGCCTGGTCTCTTGAGAACTCTGTCAACACTGGATTGTCTGGTCCTCCAGAGCTTTGCCCTAGAATGTCAAGTGCGTGCTTCTGGGATCACCTCTGTGAGCTCATTCCTCTTATGGACAACACGGCTTCTCAGAGGTAGCCCAGAATAGATCAGCTCCTCAAACTGCACCCTCTGCCAAGACCGGGAGCTCTCTAGAGCACCTCGTCATGCTTGCCACCACCGTCCTTTCAGGCCACAGCCTTCGGAGTCTTCCGTGGATCTCTATCTTCCTTAAGCCCCTGAACCTGCTCTGTGATGGAATCTGGACTTTTGTTTCCTCCTCTCAGAGTTCTTGCTTGCTCACATCAGTGAAGCCAGCTGCTGTATGGTGACCACCCCATGGACAGGCCCATGTGGCAAGGAGCTGAGAGTGGCCTCAGGACACATGGCCCATGAGGAACTGATCCCTGCCAGCAGCCACATGCATGAGCCTGGAGACAGATTCCTCCCCAGCTGAGCCTCGGGGTGAGAGCAGCCCTGGCCAACACCTTGATTGCAGAGGACCAGCTAAGTCATGCCTCAATTCCTGACCCACAGAAACTGAACAAGCTCTAGAAAACCATTATCAAGAAACAGAGGTAGTGGGCATCCTGATCTTCTTCCTCAGCTCTAAGGAAATGAATGTGAGGTTTCACTATTCAGGATGACAGATTTGGTTTTTTTCATCAAATATATACTGCATTTGTCAATGCTCTACAGAGAAACAGAACCAATAGAGAAAAGGAGGGAGAGAGAGAGAAACGAGAGAGAGACACGTAGATATACATATATGTATTAAGACAGAGTTTCGTTCTTGTCACCCAGGCTGGAGTGCATGATCTCTGCTCACTGCAACCTCTGTATCCCAGCTTCAAGCAATTATCCTGCCTCAGCCTCCTGAGTAGCTGGAATTATAGGCACACGCCACCACACCTGGCTAATTTTCGGATTTTTAGTAGAGGCGGGTTTCACCATATTGTCCGGGCAGGTCTCAAACTCCTGACTTCAGGTGATCTGCCTGCCTCGGCCTCCCAAAGTGCTGGGATTACAGGTGTGAGCCACCGCACCTGGCTGAGACATGTATTTTAAGAAATTAGCTCAACATGGTGGAGGCTTGGTGAGTCCAGAGCCTGATGGGGCAGGCTGACATGCTGGAGACTGAGGGAGGAGTTACAGCTGGGGTCCAATGGCACTCTGCCAACAGAATTCCTTCTTGCTGCTGAGAGGTCAGTTTTTGTTCTATTAAGGTATTCAACTGATTGGTCGAGGCCCACCCACTTGGGCTTCAAAATCCACTCATATATTTATTATTATTGTTTTAGAGACAGGGTCTCACTTTACTGCCTATGCTGGTCTTGAACTCCTGGCATCCCACAATCTTCTCACCTCAGCCTCCCAAAATGCTGAGATTACTGGCATGAGCCACTGCACTCAGCACAAAATCCACTAATTTAAATCCTCCCTCCCTTCACAGAAACACCTAGAATACTTTTAAACCAAATCTCTGGGCACTGTAGCGCAGCCAAGTTGACACATAAAATGAACCAGCACAATTGCCCTACATCAGGTTGTGCAGATGCCCTCATTTGTTAAGAGCTGTTTATAACTTCCAAGTTTGTGTTGAATTTTATCAAGCAATTACTTTCATATTATTGTTCTTATTTGTTTATACACTGTTTTTAAAAACCACAAATTTTCTAATATAAAAGCATTCTTGCATTGTTGAGATAAATCCAACCTGAAGAGAGTAGCTCTCAGTTCATCTTGCTTGCCATTCCCCTGGTCACAGCCTGTGGTGAGCAGAGGGCAGAGCGCCAGCTGTGTCCTGGGACTGGTGACAGACAGCCTGCCATCCTCCTGTCTCTGGGCCGGCCCTGGGAGGGGCCCATAGGCTGCAGGAAGAGCATTGTACAATTTACATGGATGCCTTTGGGTGGGGGCCTGACAGCTGCTGGAGTCATGGTCCTCACCCAGATCAAGGTGGGGCTGACAGGTCCTCCTGGTGCTCGGGTAGTCAGGGGCTGGGGCGACAGCAGCTAGTGGGGTCGGGTGTATGAGACAGATAAACACTCACACTCACATGCCAGGTGTGGCTTTGAGCCTCAGCCCAGCCCACTCTCCTCAGCTGTCTGGCTGGCTTTATCGAAAGTTCCCTAAATGGAAAGGGTCTGTTTTTCCTACCGTGCCTGCTCACTCTCCAGAGAACCCGTGCCTGCTAGTGGCCAAACTCTGAGGTTGGGGGCACAGTCCTCCAGACCACCACATCTTCTGGGACGTCTGGCCTCCTCTGCAGCAGAGGTTACCAAACTGTCCAGTCCAAGGGAACAGTCCCCACAAGACTGCCCCAATATCAGCCACCAGCTGCAAGTTCAGAGTCCCCAGGGCCACCTCCACTTCAGACAAGCTGTTGCAAATGTGAGGGTGCTTACAACCACACACAGCTTCAGTAATTTTCTGAGTGACTCACAGAACTCAGGAAAGCACTAAACTTATGATTACAGCTTTATGATCATGAAAAGATACAAATTAAAATCAGCCAAAGGAAGAGACGCTTAGGGCAGAATCCAGGAAGGGTCCAGTTGTGAGCTTCCAGGGAGGCGTGCTCTCCCTCTGGGGCTCTGGGCAGCCTTGCCTCCTCTGGGCCACAATGTGTGAGGATACGCACAGGGCACTGTCCACCGGGAAAGACTACCTGAGCCTTTGCTGTCCAGAGGCTTTACTGAGGCTTGATCAGACTCTGCCTTTAGAAGCCAAAGCCCCCCAAACAAAGACACTCCTGTGAGACAAGACATTCCAGGACCCAGAGGTCACCTCCCACTAGCCTAGGGCAGAGGCTGGACCTCTCTTTGGGTGAGGTTAATCCTAAACTATGAATAGGGTGTGTTACAAAGTCAGTGCCCAAAGATGCAGAGTGATGTGGCAGTCAGAAGCTCCAGTCCTGGCTTTGCCACCTTTGAGTTTAGCAAGTTACTTACGCCCTGTGGACACCCACCAGCCAGAGGCCAGCAGGAACAGCCTGGTAGCCAAACAAATTTGAGTTAATTGGTACCCATTGCACTAAGAAGACCGCACACTAGGGGGGCAGTGCAGAGTCTCAGTGTGTGTGCGTCGGGGGTGCTTACTGAAGGATTTGGGCATTTGTAGGGTGATTTTACGAAATGTTCAAGGAAGCAAAGTGTTGCTCTGGATTGGGTGCTGTTGAGGAATGGGGTGTGTCTATAACTGGGGATCTTCACAATTTTTATCCAGGAGGTGGAGGAACAGGGGAGGGCCGAAAAACCTGGGAGAGAAACAGCAGTCTCTCACGTGAAACAGGAGAGGGCACTGTTTGGCCATTTTTATGGTTTCACAGTGACCTCATTTTTGTCCATGCTCAGGCATAGTTATGGAGTGGCCTTAATTCTGTCCTGCTGCGTCACGGGTGCACGGTGACCTGCCTGACATGGATGCTCTGTGAAGTTGGTGTGCATCAGGCAGACACCAGGGCCCAGCAAACGAGTCACAGGATGCTTTGTTCTTTTCCCACACCTGAGTTTCATCGTTGATAACACAGAGAGTAATTCTACCTAACATATTAGGCAGATATGAGAATTAAGGGGAATAATGTAAAATGCCCAGCATAAAATAAAACACAACAGCCAGTCAATTCCCATACCAATGTTAAAAAATAAGAGTCTGCGATAAAATGGAAAAAGTGAAGAATTAAAATAAAGCCAAATGCAGAAGAGGCACAGGGAAAGAAGCTGACAGAGGACATCAGATGAGGGCAGTCCCTGAGCCAAGGTCTGTCCCGAAGCTCCCACTGTGACCTCCACCTGGGGCCAGGTGTATGTGTGTGTGTGTGTGTGTGTGTGTGTGCACGTGTGTGCATGTGTGTGTACATGTGTCTGTGTGTGTGCATGTGTGTGTCTGTGTATCCTTGCATGAGGGAGGTAAGAAATATGCCAGCAGCTGACCATGCTGGCTCATGCCTGAAATCCCAACACTTTGGGAGGCTGAGGCAGGAGGATTGCTTGAGTTCAGGAGCTCAAGGCTAGCCTGGGCAACATAGTGAGACCTCATTTGTACAATTTTTTTTTTTTAAATTTAGCCAAGAATGGTGTTGCATGCCTTGTATCCCAGCTACTTGGGAGGCTGAAGTAGAAGAATCCCTTGAGCCCAGGAAGTTGAGGATGCAATGAGCCATGACTGCACCATTGCACTCAGTCCGGGTGGCAGAGTATGATGAGACCCTGTCTCAAAAGAAAAGAAAAAAAATGTGCCGGCAATACACAAAAAGGTTTACATACCATAATGAAATGGAAACTGCCCCAGGAATGCAAAGTTGCTTTAATATCCAAAAACCAATGAATGCAATATAGTATGTTAACAAAATAGAGGGCAAAACCACATGATAATGTCCATAGACACAGAAAAATCACTTGACAAAACCTAACACCCTTACATAAAAACACTCAATAAACTAGAAATAGAAGAGAACTTTCTCAACCAGATAAAGGATGTCTAAGAAAAACCCACAGTTAAAATCACACTAAATGGTGACAGACGTATGCTTTCCTCTCAGTGACAGGAACAAGACAAAATGTCTGCTCTTGACACATGTATTCATCATTGTACTGGAGGTTCTAGTCAGGGTAATTGGGAAAGAAAAATAAATAAAGGGTATTCAGATCAGAAAGGAAGAAGTAAAACCATCCCTATTTGGAGATGGCATGATCTGTCTATAGAAAATTCTAAAAAATCCACAAAAGTATTAGAGCCAGTAAACAACTTCAGCAAGATTGCAGAATACAAGATCAACATTTAAAAATCTATTGTATTTCTATAAAATAGCAATGCATAATCTAAAATAAAATTAAAATAACTCCACTTATCGAAAAGAATAAAATATTTAGGAATAAATTTAAACAAGTACAAGACTTGCGTACTGAAAGCAGGAGGAGAAAGAGAAGGACAAGGAGAGGAGGAGGAGGAGAAGGAAGAGGAGGCAACGTGTTCAGGATGTCCCGTGATTCCCGAGACCTGAAGCCACCTGTCAGTTCAGGCCCCCCCTGTCCTTCCTGTCCCTACTCCTGATCTGCTGCCTCCCGCGTGCACCTCAAACCTATTCTGCTCAGGCATGGAAGTAAGAGGTGTGAAAGTCAGTCTGGGTGTACCAGCTGTTCTACATACTGGCCTGGCCAAGTTATTTTCAACTCCTCCGAAGCCAGCCATGAACGTGAGGGAGAACTCTGCATGGGGTGCAGTTCCCTCTGGGCAGTGAGACCAGCTGCAGAGGCCACCCAGGCCTGGGAGAGCCCACAGCTCCAGCCAGGAAGGGCTGAGGCTGAGGCCAGCTGCAGATCTCAGCCTGCAGATCTCCGGCAGGCCCTGGAGGGTCAGAGTGTGGCCCTTAGGGTCCTGGGGCCTCTGAGCAGCCTCAGTTCTGTGCCCCTGAAGGCTTTGCCTCTCGGGCCCGGTGCTTCAGCGCAGTCCTCAGGGACTGCAGGATGGCTCCCTGGCTGGTCCACACGTTGTAGTGGCTGAGCTGCAGGAGGCGCTCGAAGTCTTCCTCCTTGTAGGTCATGTTGAACAGGGCATAGGGGGAGGTAGCCCCGGTGAGATCTACTTGGCCAGCCTGGAGCTCGGTGGGGCTGCGCTGGACACCTACCCAAGGGTGGGAGGGGTGTCAGGAACAGGCCACCAGGGCCTCCCCAGCCCGGCAGCGGCGCACTGGGAGGGCTGCCCCCACTGGAGGGGCCCCTGCTTTCCTCCCACCTCTCTGCGTCCTTTTCCCAGAAATACAAGCGTGGGGGCAGTGTGCTCTTTGGATGGGGACTATTTGGTGGTAGAAAATACAATTTCATGCTTGGTTTCCTTGCAGTGTGACACTCCTAATGCTATTCAGGCAGCCCCACGTCTCTACATTGCTTGGGGGTAAGGTGGAAACAGCCAGAAGGCAGACGTCAACTGGGTTTGTGAATGGATTCTTCAAACTCATGCTGGAAGCAAGGGGCCAGCGAGAATTTGTTGAGAGATGAAAGTTCTTTAGAATTCTCAGATATGGCTGAGCATGTTCAGAGGACAGCTGGGAGATCTGGAATTACGGTGGGAAGCAGAAAGCTGGGAATATCACACGAAGGCAGCAATGAGTTTTTCCCACCGAAAGGAAATAAAATTCTGACCAGTTGGTGAGAAGAGAGGATAGGAAGGAATGCGATGGGGGTTTCAATTTCGGGAGCCCCTGAGGAGAGGCTCAGCTCCCTGAGAAGGGGCCCCAGCCTGGGCTGCGGAAGGATGATGGAGAGGCCAGCTGAGTCCCCCACAGAGCAGAACAGCAGAGGAGGCGGGGCAGAGGGGGTACCAGGGCAGGAGGGAGGCCACAGGAGGCCAGAGTCATGACAGAGGGGACCCCCGCACAGCGACCCTGCAAACAGAGGGCCTGCAGGGACGTGGGCATCAGCAAGGAGGCCAGGGTGGGCTCCAAGGCCTGGGTGGGTCTAGCCTGAAGCCTTCTCCTGGCAGACTTGCTTCCCTTCCCTCTGCTGGGCAGCGGGGGGCCCAGGGCGGGCATCTGAGGGGCCAGGCAGCCTAGCTGTTCGGGAGGGGCTGTCTCACCAGGGGCTGAGTGGTCTTTGAAGGAGGCATTGACCAGTGGGAAGTGCAGCAGGATGGGGGCCTCTGGGCAGGCAGGGTCTGAGAACAGGTGGCACTCCCTTGGCTGGTGCTTGTCCTGAGGGCTGGGTTCCACCCGGGGGAAGGGCAGTCCCCGGGCCCGGCAGTACAGCTCCGTCTGCTGCAGTGCCTGGTGGGGAGAAGGCGGCTTGGAGAGAGCCAGGCCGGCCCAGGTCAGGGCTGGGACAGTTCCAGCCCACACGGGCTGCCTCAGTGTCAGGGCAACAGCCTGGCTCTGTCCTGTCTGTGGCCAGGCCAAGCTGCAAAGTGACTCGGAGGGAGACCCAGGGGAGTCCAAGGACCCCGGTGGTCTGCAATGTTGTTTGGTTAAAATCTTTAGGTGGGGCGCAAACCTAACCCCAAGCCCCACAAACCCCAACTCTGGATTGCTATTGCTGGATTGTTCAAATCCCAGAGCCAAGAGGGGACCCACATTTGTACACAGTCTGCAAGGGAAGAAGTCTGGGTTGCGGGGGGGATGGACATGGAGATGTTTAGGGTCTCCTCTCAGCTCTTTCCAGCTGTTCTTTTGAGTGGGTGTAGGGACATCCCTCCCTGTTGAGCTGTCCTGGGACCCACGGCGCCTGCACCACCACAGCCCTTCCCAAGTGAGGACCTGGCAGAAGCCAGTAGATGAAGGTCTGACACCCCTCCTTCCCTTTGGGACCTGGGTGGTGTAGGGCAGTGGCTCAGTGGCCCTGCTGCTTGCCTCTAGAGCTTGGCCTGGCTGGGCAGAGGGGTTCCCATGGGGTGACCAGGGTACCTCAAAGGGCGCAGACAGGGAGTAGTCAAAGGAGAGGATGAGGTCCAGCCTGCGACCCGGCCGGAACATGGAGGGGCAGCTGGTGTTGATAAAATAGCAAGCGTCTACCAGGCAGAGCTGAGGCTCCTGGGGAGTCAGCTGGCTGGGTGTGGAGTCAAGCTGGCAGTCTGTTGGGAAACACAGGATGGTCAGAGACCGCCACTGTGCCACAGGTCATCCAGGTGCCCTTCTGTTCTCTGGGTCACTCCCTGAATGTGCGTGCCACCCCAGCCCTGCCCCAGGACCTTCCAAGGGGATCTTCTCCAGGCCACACCCCAGAAGAGGATGCTGACCTCCTAGGCCTCTGTCTGCCAGTCCCTGCCACACCACCCAAAGCCCAATCTCACGTCCACCTGGCCACAGCCCTTACCTGCCCAGGTGGAGAAGTCCCTGTGGCTGCGGTAGTTCTGGTGCAGCTGGAGGCCCTGGAGGAAGTTGGAGCTGCGCTGGTGGAGGGGCCTGCCAGTGAGGAAGCCTTTAAACGCCCGGGCCAGCGCCGTTCCTGGCTGCAGCCACGAGGCCCCCAGCCATGAAGAGGTCCCTGAGGAGGTGGGGGGCTCCTTCTCTGAAGCCAGAGAAGCAGACATTGGTCCCTTCTTCCCCTCGCTTCTTCCCTTCAGACCCCGCACATTGCAAGCAAAGTCTGAGGGGGCAGCCTCATCCCAGGCCTCTCAGCTCCCACTTCCCACCTAAGCTCCTGGTCTTGTCCTTGATGTGCTGTGTCCAGGCCTCTCCGGAGCTGGTGAGGTCATACCAGGTGTCCAGCAGGTTCAGGGAGAAAATGTTGCTCCAGATGGCTGAGGGAACCCCAAGAGAGGTCAGCCTGAGGCCCCAGCCAGCGGCTCTCTCATGAGTGCTGATGGGAAATGGGGGTGGGGAGAGGGCTGCGCCTAGGATGCCCCCGCCATGCCACCCACCCGTATCCCTCATCCTGAGGTTCTGTCCCACCTGAGCTACAGGACCCATGTCCATTCAGACACCTGGCCCAGGGCCACCCAGGGCCTTCAGAGCCACCACCCTCACCTTCCAGAAAGCAGATCCGGGGTTCAGGGGTCTTCCTCATCAGCCGTCCCATGAAGAACTCGGAGCCAAAGAGCTCAGGAGGGACGAAGGCTCCGTATTTCAGGAACCCGACCTCATAGGGGGAGAACTCAACCCACTCTAATTGGGTGGGAGGGAGAGGTGGGAGTGTGAGGGGAGTGGATGGCAGGAGCCCCAACTCTGGCCAAAGGTACTGTCCCAGCAGGCCTGAGCACCCTGTGCCTTGCGCCAATGCAGCAGACATGGGGACCGTGCGCTCCCTCCCAGTCCCTGGTCCGCACCCTCAAGCTCTCCCCACTCCCATGCACAGAGAGCTCCCCAGAGCCCTCAGCACCGCTGCCCTTCCCATAGGTTGGGCAATCTGTGTGGAGTTTCCAGCTTGAATTCTCTGGGAACTCTTGGGGTGCAAAGGGTTTGGGGGGTGGAGCATGTGGGAGGGGGAGTGGGAAGAACTGTACCCTTGAAGTCCAGTGTCTCCAGATTGTTCTCTTTGACACTGAGGCTCAAGTAGAGGGGTAGAGGGTTCTGACCCCGTTCCAGGGCGGCTCTCTGTCCTGACAGCTTCTGATCCATCACCTGGGGCCAGAGGGTGTCAGGACCTAAGTGATGCTGGGAGCACCCTGGAGGCAGCAGCCCAGGCTGGGGTTGAGGAGGCAGCTCCTCCAGTGGGATCTGGGGGCCATGCATGGGTCAGTTCCCACTCCTGCCCCCGTGTTCTGACCAGCCCCAGACTCAGGGTCTCTGGACAGGGCGTGCAGGCTGCGTGCTGCGTTTCTCCAGGGAGGGCCATTCACAGGGACCACAATGCCAGCAGGCTTCCAGACCCATCTTCATGGGTTTAAGAGTAAAGTGGGGGGGGGACGATCCAAGATGGCCGTTCAGGAACAGCTCAGGATTGCAGCTCCCAGTGAAAGCGCAGAGGGTGAGTGGACGCCGCGTTTTTATTGCCCACAGACTAGGAAATTCCCGGGCGGAGGTGCTCCACGGTCGCCAGCGCAGCTGTGCTGGCCAGCGCCGCTGCTTTGCCCCGCGCGGCTGCTTTGTCGGCGCCCCGGAGCCGCGGTTCTCCATACAAAATACACTGGTCCGGGGGCCCTTTTGGCTGGCGATTGGAGCCACGGGAAGTCGCCCATACGCCGGTTCAAAAAGGGGACTGAGCAGAGAACCAGGACAGTAGATTCCAGGGCAAAAAAAAAAAAAGCGCCACAAACCTCAGTGCCGCTGTTTAAGCCAGCGCAGTGAGTGGCCGCAGGGGAAAACAAACAGACCCCGGCACCTCTTCAACAGGTGACTGGAACACCAACTTAAAAAAGGCTCTGAGGCAGGGAGCCAGGCCATCAGGCTCGGCTGGTCCCACCCCAACAAAAGAACAGCAATCAGAAACTCCTGATTGAGAGTTTCACAGCCAGCGCAGCTGAACCCGGGACGGTCCAGCTCTGTGGGGGAGGGGCGTCCGCCATTACCGAGGCAGCCCGCCGTTGCCAAGGCAACCCGCCATTGCTGAGGCAGCCCGCCGTTGCCAAGGCAACCCGCCACAGCAGAGATTCCGCCCCAACAGAGGCGGGCCACCATCGCCAAAGCAGTTCTAACTACACCCATATAAACAGGACTGCAGGGAAGTTCACTCGGCAGCGGGGCGGAGCGCACAGCAGCTCAGCAAAGCTGCCATAGGCCGACAGTGACTAGGCTGCCTCCTTGCTGGGCTGGGCAGGTCTGAAGGAAAAAAAAAAAAAAAAAGAAGGCGGCAGCATAACGGAAACTCACAAATAAAGTCCCAAATCCCTGGGACAGAGCACCTGGGAACAAAAAGCAGTTTATGAGTTCTGCTGCAGCAGACCTAAAAGTACCTGCCCAGCAGCTCTGAATGAACAACAACAGAGCTTGCAGCTCACCATTTGAGCTCCTATAAAGAAGAGACTGTCTCCTCAAGCAGCTCCCTGACCCCTATCTATCCAAAAAGACACCTCATAAAAGAGAGAATAGATTGACACTAGGCGGGTATCCTTCTGGGACAAAGATAGCAGAAGAAGAAAACTGGTAACAACCCTTGCTGTTCAGCAGCTGCTGCAGGTGAACCCCAGGCAAGCAGGGCCTGGAGTGAACCTCAGCAGACTGACAGCAGAGGGGCCAGACTGTCAGAAGGAAAACCAAGAAACAGAAATAACCTCATCAACAACAAACAGAATGTCAATCTGAAAGATTTGAGACCCAATCTGAAAGCCAGCAACTACAAGGTCGACAGGTGGATAAATCCTTAAAGATGGGAAGAAACCATCGCAAAAAGGATGAAAACATCCGAAACCAGAACACCTCTCCTCCTAAAAGGGATCACAACTCCTCGCCAGCAAGGGAACAAGGTTGGAGGGAGAACGAGTGTGATGAAATGACAGAATCAGACTTCAGAAGGTGGGTAGTAAGAAACTTCTGTGAACTTAAAGAACATGTTCTAACCAAATGCAAAGAAACTAAGAACCTTGAAAAAAGAATGGACGAAATGCTAACAAGAATGGACAAAATAGAAAGGAATATAAGTGAATTGATGGAACTGAAAAACGCAACACGAGAACTTCGTGAAGCATGCACAAGTATCAACAGCCGAATGGACCAAGCAGAAGAAAGGATATCAGAGATCGAAGATCAACTCAATGAAATAAAACGGGAAGGCAAGACTGAAGAAAAAAGGGTAAAAAGGAATGAACAAAGTCTCCAAGAAATGTGGGACTATGTGAAAAGACCTAATCTACGTTTGATAGGTGTACCCGAATGTGACAAAGAGAATGAATCCAAGCTGGAAAATACTCTTCAGGATATTATCCAGGAAAACTTCCCCAACCTAGCAAGGCAGGCAAACATTCAAGTCCAGGAAATACAGAGAACACCACAAAGATATTCGTCAAGAAGAGCAACCCCAAGGCACATAATCGTCAGATTCACCAGGGTCGAAATGAAGGAGAAAATACTAAGGGCAGCCAGAGAGAAAGGTCGGGTTACCCATAAAGGGAAGCCCATCAGACTCACAGCAGATCTCTCAGCAGAAACCCTACAAGCCAGAAGAGAATGGGGGCCAATATTCAACATCCTTAAAGAAAAGAACTTTCAACCCAGAATCTCCTATCCAGCCAAACTAAGCTTCATAAGTGAAGGAAAAATAAAATCCTTTGGGAACATGCAAGTACTCAGAGATTTCGTCACCACCAGGCCAGCTCTACAAGAGCTCCTGAAAGAGGCTCTACACATATAAAGGAACAACAAGTACCAGCTCAACTAAAGGGCAAAACAGCCAGCTAGCACCAAAATGGCAGTATCAAATTCACACATAACAATATTAACCCTAAATGTAAATGGACTAAATGCCCCAATCAAAAGACACAGACTGGCAAATTGGATAAAAAGACAAAACCCATCAGTGTGCTGTATCTAGGAAACCCATCTCACATGCAAGGATACACAAAGGCTCAAAATAAAGGGATGGAGGAAGATTTACCAAGCAAATGGAGAGCAAAAAAAAGCAGGAGTTGCAATTCTCATCTCTGATAAATTAGACTTTAAAGCAACAAAGATCATAAGAGACAAAGAGGGACATTACATAATGGTAAAAGGATCAATGCAACAGGAAGAGCTAACGATCCTAAATATATACGCACCCAATACAGGAGCACCCAGATAAGGCAAGTTCTTAATGACCTACAAAGAGACCTAGACTCCCACACAATAATAGTGGGAGACTTTAACACCCCATTGTCAACATTAGACAGATCAACCAGACAGAAAATTAACAAGGATATCCAGGACTTGAACTCAGACCTGGACCAAGCAAACCTAATAGACATTTACAGAACTCTCCACCCCAAATCCACAGAATATACATTCTTCTCAGCACCACATCACACCTACTCTAAAATTGACCACATAATTGGGAATAAATCACTCCTCAGCAAATGCAAAAGAACGGAAATCGTAACAAACAGTCTCTCAGACCACAGTGCAATCAAGTTAGAACTCAGAATTCAAAACCTAACTCAGAACCGCACAGCTTCATGGAAACTGAACAACTTGCTCCTGAATGTTGACTGGATAAACAATGAAATGAAGGCAGAAATAAAGATGTTCTTCGAAACCAACGAGAATGAAGACACAACATACCAGAATCTCTGGGACACATTTAAAGCAGTCTCTAGAGGAAAATATATAGCAATAAGTGCCCACATGAGAAGCAAGGGGAGATCAAAAATTGACACCCTATCGTCAAAACTGAAAGAGCTAGAGAAGCAAGATAAAAAAAACTCAAAGTCTAGCAGAAGACAAGAAATAGCTAAGATCAGAGCAGAACTGAAGGAGATAGAGACACAAAAAACCCTTCAAAAAATCAATAAATCCAGGAGCTGGTTTTTTGAAAAGATCAACAAAATAGACAGACCACTAGCCAGATTAATAAAAAAGAAAAGAGAGAATAACCAAATTGATGCAATAAAAAACGATAAAGGGGATATCACCACAGATTCCACAGAAATTCAAACCATCATCAGAGATTACTACAAACAACTCTATGCACACAAACTAATAAACCTGGAAGAAATGGATAAATTCCTGGACACTTGCCTCCTCCCAAGCCTAAACCAGGAAGAAGCCAAAACCCTGAACAGACCCATAACAAGGTCTGAAGTTGAGGCAGCAATTAAGAGCTTACCACCCAAAAAAAGCCCAGGTCCAGATGGGTTCACAGCTGAATTCTACCAGACATACAAAGAGGAGCTGGTACCATTTCTTCTGAAACTATTCCAAACAATACAAAAAGAGGGAATTCTTCCCAAATCATTTTACGACACCAACATCATCCTGATTCCAAAACCCGGCAGAGACTCAACAAGAAAAGAAAACTTCAGGCCAATATCCATGATGAACATAGATGCAAAAATCTTCAATAAAATACTGACAAGCCGATTGCAACAGCACATCAAAAAGCTTATCCACCATGATCAAGTAGGCTTCATCCCGGGGATGCAAGGCTGGTTCAACATACGCAAGTCTATAAACGTAATTCACCACATAAACAGGACCAAAGACAAAAACCACATGATTATCTCAATTGATACAGAAAAGGCCTTTGACAAAATTCAACAGCTCTTTATGCTAAAAACCCTCAATAAACTAGGTATTGACAGAACGTATCTCAAAATAATGTTCATTGCAGCACTGTTTGCAATAGCAAAGACCTGGAACCAACCCAAATGCCCATCGACGATAGACTGGATAGGGAAAATGTGGCACATATACACCATGGAATATTATGCAGCCATCAAAAACGATGAGTTAGGGTCCTTTGTAGGGACATGGATGAACCTGGAAACCATCATTCTCAGCAAACTGACAGAAGAGCAGAAGATCAAACACCGCATGTTCTCACTCATAGGTGGGTGTTGAACAATGAGAACACATGGACACAGGGAGGGGAGCACTACACACTGGGGTCAGTTGGGGGGAAATAGGGGAGGGACGGTGGGGGGTGGGAAGCTGGGGAGAGATAGCAAGGGGAGAAATGCCAGATGTGGGTGATGGGGAGGAAGGCAGCAAATCAC